AAAGCATGTAAAAATGCAAGTAGAAAAATAGGAACCACCTTTGGTGGGAAGGTAACAGCATTCTGTGCACCTTCAGTGTTTAGTCATGCCGGCTACATGAACACAGAGACGTCTTCAGACAGCGCTGGCTCTTCGGCTTTGAAATGGAGATGAGCACTGCCCCTTAGAGCCGGGAACGACTAGCACATATGTGTGAGGGGAACCTTTACCTTTAAAGTACACTAGCAGTTCTCAAGTTACAACAGTTCATTTAGTAACCATCAGAAGTTACAACGGCACTGAAAAAAATGACTTATGACCATGTTTTACACTTACGACCATTGCAGCATCCTCATGGTCATATGATCAACTTTTGGATGCTTGGCAACTGACACAAATTTATGACATTTGCAATGTCCTGGAATCACATGATCACATTTTGTTACCTTCCAACAAGCAAAGTCAAGGAGAAGCGAGATTTACTTAACAACCATGTTTCTAACTCAACAACTGCAGTGATTCCCTTAACAACTGTTGACAGGAAAGGTCACAAAATGGGGCAAAGCTCACATAACAAATGTCTCGCTCACCAACTGAAATTTTGGGCTCAATTGTGCTGGTTAGTCAAGGACTTACCTGTAGTTATTAAGAAGTATAACATTGTTGCATCTCTCTTGCACGTAGTTGAAATAAGAATGACTTAGGTAGAATGAGTGAAATTCCAGGCATTAGATCCCACCAATGAATCTTGGCCTGTGTCAAAACATCCTCTAACAGAGATACAAATTCTGTGCAAACAGATGATGTGGAAAAGAGTATTACAAATTATTAAAATTGGTCCCAAGGCTACCAATTAATTTTATAGAGCATGACTAGCAAAACATCATTTTCCCCAGCATTTTTCATGCCTCCAACTGGAATTAAAAGCTAAGTTGTAACTTTAACTGATTCTTAGGTGGAAGAGAAGGAAACCAAACTCAATGGAATTTACTTTTGAGTAGGTATAAAATTACATCACAATGTTGGCCAACTCAAAAACATTTATTGCTGAACCTTTTGAACCATTTTTGTATTCCTTTCATTTCTCAGTGTTTTCTCCTATTTAATGCTTCCACTCTCTTACATTCATTCCTTCACCATAGCAACAACACTTAGACTTATATACCGCTTCACAGTTCTTTACAGCCCTCTCTAAGCAATTTATGGAGCCANAATAGAATAGGAATATAGAATAGAGTCGAATAGAATAAAATAAAATAAAAGAATAGGAGAGTAGAATAGAATAGAATAATCTAAAAGGGACCTTGGAGGTCTTCTAGTCCAACCCACTGCCCAAGCCGGAGTCCCTACACCATTCCAGAAAAATGGTCCCAGAAGCTTCTTCAGCTCTTGCCATTGATTAATTGCTCTTCAATCAGAGCTGAAGAAGCTTCTTGGCGGAGAAGCGAAACGTCTTCAAAGAAAAACCAGAAAGTCTCTTTTGCCTCTTGGAAAAAAAGCGCTTTGGGACAATTCTGCATTCTGTTCCCAGGTCTCCCTGAAGGCTGGTTTGATCCATTCCTGGCATCTCTGGTTTCGGTCCGGGCTGCCTCCCCAGGGCCATCGTTTTGTTCTCCCATTCGCATATTACTCTTTGCTGCTCTACATTTCTTTGACACACACACACACACACACACCCTGCATTTTACAACAAGAGGCCGACAAAGCACACATACTGAAAGATGGCAGATGTGGCCATCCCTCGCTTGATGCTGCCTAGGACTGCATTAGCTTTTTTTGCAGTTGTGGCACACTGCTGGCTCATGCTTAAGTGGTTGTTCATTAGGATTCCTACATCCCTCTCACACTTACTGCTATTGAGCAAGGCACCACCTATTCTACACCTGTGCATTTGGTTTTTCCTGCTTTAAGAGTAGCACCTTGCTTTTGTCACCAATGGACTGCCTCTCGTGGGCAAACCTGTATAGTTCAACCTGCCCTGAATGACAGCATTTTTAACAGTTATTTTCCACCACTGCCGGTTTTTGCCAGATGGCAGACGGGAAAAAGCTTGGCTGACAAAATATAAAGGAAGATCTGTTGTTCTGACTTAGGCTTCCTGAGACAGTAAAAGCACACGCTTAGTTCCCCAAACTCCTCTTTTATTTCAACGGCTGTGAATTATGTTCATTCACAGCCTGTAATGAGTCACAAATAGTTTGTAAAGAGTCTGACAGAAGTCTGCCAAAGTCTTTNCGTCAAATTTCCATGGAAGTCGCCTATACCCACGATGGGTGAAGAGGCGTCAAGTACAAGTACAAGTATTCCAAAATGTACATGAGATTTTCTCTTTTTTTTTTTGTCAATCCCTCAAAGGCAAAGGATGGCCTCCTGCAGCACTTTGCCAGCCAAAACAGGGTGCGAGGGCCTCACGCGGCTCCCTGCGCCCCCCCTTTGGCTGGCAAAATGTTGCAGGCGTTTGTCCTGGCCGAAAATGTGGCTCTGTAGGAGGCGTCTGTCCTGTCTCCCCGCCAGCCAGCCCGCAGAGGATTACAATGCTGATCTGGCCCTGGAAGAAATTCAGTTTGACACCCCTGACCTAGAGGTTCTGTAAGGCAGCAGGAAATGCATATATAAGTAAACAAAACCTGACCTGCATTGCATTAATTGCTTGCATTCAGCTTCTTTGCTTTCCAGCTCATCTTGAACAAGAGAGAGTTTGCTTTCCAAGGCACAGTTGGTCTGCAGAGTTTGCTCTAAATTTTGGATCAGTTTCTTCTTGTCCAGTTTGGAGGTTTCCAGGGATTTACGAAGTGAGTTCATCTTTCATAGTACGGAAGAAAGCATATGGTGACAAAAATTGTGTGTAATGCAGCCAATTACTAGAAAGCCAATGGGCCCAAAGATGCTTCACTTGGCATTTGCCAGGCTTCCTGCACCAACTATATTTCATATATTTAAGATGCTTCATGTGGCCATAACTGCATTTGCTCAGTTTGCAAAATGCCAGGCTAGAAAGTAGGAGACTATGAGTTTTCAAGTCCCACCTTAGCCATGAAAGCCAGCTGGGTGACTTTGGGCCAGTCACTCGCTCTCAGCCCAACTCACCTCACAGGGTTCTTGTTGTAGGGAAAATAGGAGGAGGAAGGTGTGCTGGATATGTTCGCTACCTTGAGTTATTTGTAAAAATAATAAAGGATGTATATAATTCTGCAATTCCCCTCTACCCCCCCCAAAAAACAAGAGAGGGTCTAGGAATGTCTTTATTACAATTAGTGTCAACCACTTTACCCTGCTATCAACCTCACATTGTAAATGGCTACACAAAGAGTAAGCACGGCTAAAAGAGCCTTCCATTTCAACCAAATTATATCAGTATTTCATCAACAGAGAATGTCATTTCTGTTACCAACAATGCCCCAATTCCCAGATTGAATGGACTCTCTGTTTTAGTCAATGGAAGTTGCTTTGCTTTTTACCTTCGCATTGCGCTGGGAGTCCAAAGCTAGCTTGTTCTGATATTCTTCCAGCTCTTCTTCCAGCGCCTGAATTCTTTGCTCGTTCTGAGCCCTACATATGAGAATAGAAGTAGCCCAAAGAATAGGTATACTGAGAGAATGTGCTTGTCGTCTTGCCCCATCCCCCGCCGCCAAAATCTCAAATAT